TTTCCCCACACACTCTTAATTACAGTTTTCCATATAATGAAGTTGCCCAACTTTTTCTTAACTGGCACCCTAGGTGAATTGCCATACTGGTGGTAAATTTATTTATTGCCATTTTTTCTTGCAACAAATGTCATGTTTCAAGGGATTTGTTCTAAGAATTCTGAAATGAGTTTTACATATCAGAGAGAGAATACTAGCCAAACATTTTTAATTCTTCGTTATATCACTGACTTTCTAATAACCATACAGTTGGTTTGAGTGATTTCATTCCCAGATCATGTAATTTATTTTAAAACATTTTGCATAGTGCAGAAAAACAGAATTTGAGGACTGTATATTTATTCTGGTGAATACATTTTAAATGTATTATAGGTTTAGTCTCTACAAGCACATCCTTTAATGGTTTAGTGATTAACTGTGATTCTAATTCATTATACATAATGACAACATCTTAACTTGAGTTGTCTTATATGTTCAGGTTAATATTTTTTGTTAATGAAAGTTTAATTCAGTACATTTTATATTTATGAAATCTCTCTGCCTGGTATCTTTTTGTCTTCTAGTTATTACTATGTGATCTTTAATATGTAAATTAAACTTTAGGAATGCTGGCTATCACATTTTGGTTCTTCTCATTGCATTATAATATTGATAGAACAGTAATATTAATGACATGTAGAAGTTGGATTTTGAAACTAATCACCATCTATAAAAATTAGTATCTAATTGCTGTTGTAACTTTAAATCAATATCCAGGTAAACATAGATTCTATTATTGTCATAATCTAGAATATAATAGGCCTATTTTGGCCAAAGGAAAAAATGACTTTAGAATAATCTAAATTTTTTTCTTAAAAAGATATAGATCCTTGGCTTATAATTGTAATCTTTAGGTATCTTCAGAATCATTTGCTGTCATGAAAGTAGTGCAAGAGCCATTTGCTATAATGACAAGCTGCAAATTTTGAGAACACTTTATGTCTAATTTTAAAAAACACAACAACAATTACAAACAAACCGAACCCTGTGGCCGTGTCCACTGGCAATATGGTTTTTCTCTGATGGGATGCTTTGAGTTCTGGATACCATCCCTATCTGGTGTGGAGGTGTTGCTTTAGCAGCATATTATGGTAGAAAAGAAAAGCTATGGACTTGAGAGGCACACCAACCCCAATGTGAACTTGAGCTCTACCACTTTTGTACTAACAGGTTGGACAAATTACTTAACTTCCTTGGTAAAATGAAAATTATACTTCTCTAGGGATGCTATGAAGATGGAAGCACCCAAAGTGAGTTCTTGTTAAATGGCAGTAGTTGTATGAACAGTACAGTGTAGTGATGATGATGTTTTCATATTCTTTCAGGTGAAATAAAGGACAAAAATGTTCAGGTGGTGGAGCTCCCCATTGTGGACAGTCTTCATCCTCGTCCTCCGTATTTACCCCTGGCTGTACCAGAAGACCTTGCAGATCGACTTGTTCGAGTTCATGGTGACCCTGCAGTGTGGTGGGTGTCGCAGTTTGTCAAATACTTGATCCGCCCACAACCTTGGCTGGAAAAGGAGATAGAAGAGGCCACAAAGAAGCTTGGCTTCAAACATCCAGTTATCGGGTGAGAATCTGATTTGTTCCTCATAAAATGATATGGAGTAGCAGGTATATATATATATATATATACCTTTACCATATATTGTGAACTTTACAATCTATAGTTTAATTTTCATTGCTCCACTCAAAAACAGGTTCTAAAGTTCACCTGAGGCCCCAGGGAGATTCGTCTTCCTTTTTTTACTTAGAATGACTGAGTCATCGTACTTTGTCACCCTTGTTTTATTTATTTATTTGACAAATGTATTAGGCCCATATTTCTAAAAATGGCTGTTTCTCCTGGGGAAACCAGCAAGATGTCATTTTATTGGGAGTATTTTGGATATTATACATGATCATGTCGTACCCCAACAGGCCATGAGTTGAAACTGTCACATGTATAGCTTTCCGATTGCACCTTATTCTTAGGTTGTATTAATTGCCAGGGGTGATTATTTTGCTTTTTTGATGTTCTGTTTTCTTTTCTGTCTTGGAAGCTATTTTGAGAACAAGGATATCATTTGTACCGTAAGGTAATGCTAAAATTATTATTTAAAATGAATCTTGACCCACTTGGAAGTTACAATGTATATATGTATTCAGTCTTGTGCTTATGTTATGGGAGCTATATCAGGAAATCCTTGGAATAAGAAATATCCAAAAGAGCATTTGCTGACAAACATGTACTCCTATACATGCACATAAAAAGTTATGGGAAAGGAGCTTTCCTGGGTCCTGATGCCAGACTTCACACCATGGGAAATGTTTTTTGCACAACAGAAAGAATACTGGACTGAGAGTTAGGTGACATGGGGAATAGTCCTGACTTTTCTCTATTTCTGGGCCAAGTTACCTAATAGTAGTATTGGGTTTTGATTTTTCCATCTGTAAAACAGAGTACCTACTATACTTAAAATACCTGCCCTTAAAATGATGAATTTGATAATATTAGGATTAAAAGAGGATTTTGGTTCTGTGGGGGAAAAATGCACTGTAAAATATCACCTTTCAGAGAGACTAATACTGAAAATAGACTTGTAGACTAGCTATGGCATTCTGTTGCTTATGCTGTTTGTGATAAAATAAGCTATTGATTAATATTAATATACTAGAGGCCCGGTGCACAAAACTCATGCAGGGGGTTGGGGGTTGTCCCTCAGCCTAGCCTGCACCCTCTCCAATCCGGAACCCCTTGGGGGATGTCCGACTGCAAGAGGGATGACCGGCAGTCGGACATCCCTCTTTCAATCCAGGACCATTGGCTCCTAACCACTCACCTACCTGCTTGCCTAATCACCCCTAACCACTCTGCCTGCCTGCCTGCCTGATTGCCCCTACCCCCTTTGCCTGTTGGCCTGATTGCCCCTAACTGCCCTCCCCTGCTGGCCTGATTTCTCTAACCGCCCTCCCCTGCCAGCCTGATTGCCCCTAACCACCTCTGCCTTGGCCCCTGCCACTGTGGCTTTATCTGGAAGGAGGACCAGATGTCTGGTTGACCTGGTCTAATCAGCATATTACCCTTTTATTAGTATAGATTGCTGATTCACTCACTTATTTGCAAAACATGTATTGAGTACCTGCTACTGTGGGGGACAGAGATTAATGTTTTTCAAATGGCTCCTTCTGGTTTATTTTAGCCTGTGGGATAAGAGACTTATATAACTGACATTATATGGGTAGAACATGATAAATACCACAAGAGAAGTATTAAAGGACTTAAAAGAGGTCAGGGAAGGGAAACATACTTCCGTCTGGATCAGGAAAGGCTTCACAGCTGCAGTGTTTGAACTGGATCTTAAAGATGGAGAAAGATAACACTCTAATACTTAAATTACCAGAATACTTCCAACTGCATTACCTCATTGATCCTGTAACACAATCCTGTGAAGTGGGCAGAGGTAATTATTTCAAAGGTGAGGAAAGAAAGGAAAGAAAATCTCTGCCAAAAGTTCCAGAACCTTAACTTTGGCTATCCTATAGTTTTACATACCAGAAAGCAACCCTTATTAATTTTCCACAGACCATCCACCAAATGGAGAGTTGGCCAAGTGTAGAAAATTGAAGTAGCACAGACAACTAAGTTATTTGCAAGTGAGGTGGTATGCTGTAATGAGAGAGGAGTGCACTAGGATTTAGGAATCTGAGGTCCATCTAGCATCCACCACTAACAAATTTATGTGACTTTAGGTGACTGACTTGTTCATTATGGGCCTTCATTATTTGTCATTTGTTATAAACACTAGATTAGATGATATTTGTTTTTACTAACATAATACTAAACAGATTTTTGTGTCTACCTATCATTTATTCATTTTGTTTGTTGAATTGTGAATAAGTAGAAGAGCTTGATATCTAATAGTGAAAATCAGGTACACAAATAACTTTTACTTTTGTGAAGACTGGGTTGAAATGCCTTATGTTTTTTTTTTTCCAAATATATTTCTTTATTGAATTCAGAGAGGAAAGGAGAAAGGGAGGGAGATAGAAACATCAATGATGAGAGAGGATCATTGATTGGCTGCCTCCTGCTCGCCCCCTACTGGGGATCGAGCTTGAAACCCAGGCATGTGCCCTTGGCTGGGACCCATCAGTACGCAGGCTAATGCTCTGTCCACTGAGCCAAGCTGGCTAGGGCAAAATGCCTTATGTTATATGTGCTTACCAAAATGTCTTTAGAAGCATCAGTTTCCTTAACTGTCGGGTGAAAGAGTTAATTGAATGAACTGACTTCTGTCCTTCACAGGTCTAACTTTGTGATTCTTCTGTAAAGATTTCACTATGGTCCTCCATCAGAATACTGGTCCAGGCCTGATTTCAGGAGGACTGGGTGAACTGAGAAGACTGCTAGTGTGGTACTCTGCCACTGTCTGACACTCCGCTTCCTTTGATTCTTCTTTCTGTTACATCTCTCCTTTGTTTTTGTTTCTATTTTCATAACTCCCACCCCTCCTTCTTCCATTGTGTCTTAGTTTTCATATATATAGAAGTTACTGGCCCCTATTCCAAATGTTAAAGCTAAAGAGACCAGCTGGTGTGGTTTAATGGTTGAATGTGGACCTATGAGCCAGGAGATCATCTTTCAATCCCAGTCATGGCACATGCTCGGGTTGTGGGCTCAATTCCCAGTGGGGGCTGTATATAAGGCAGCGGATCAATGATTCTCTGTCATCATTGATGTTTCTATCTCTCCCTCTTCCTTTCTCTCTGAAATCAATAAAAATACATTTTTTTAAAAAAAAGCTAAAGAAGGTACAAGGTTAAATCAGTATCAAATAGTGTTTATTCTCATGAACATTTTCACTGAAATTTAATGGAATTGTTCTTTTTGTCCCTCTTCGTCTCTTTGGAGCATAGTGAACAATTTCAGTTGTCCGAGAGAAGCAGTGATTAAAAAGGATGTGGGAAGGAAAAGATGATAGAAGTGTTCATATAATAGTATTCACATCTGGACTATAGCCTGGAAGGCAAAGGAAAGAATAGCCATGAAGATGCCAGAGTAACTTCAATGAAATCAAACCCCCACCCAGATTCATAATAAAAGCTAGCCTCTGCTTGACCTAAAGGGAAACAAGTCTCCCCTTTTCCTTTTCCCACATGTGAATAGTGGTGTAATAACTTGGGGAGAGGAGGAATACAGAAAAGGCAAATTTCAGGAGAGTTGTAATTTATGAAAACAAGCTACGGTTACTATTGTTCTTATTTTCATTAAAATCGCTTTGAAAGCAGTAAGATGGTGAGAGAATACTGTGGAAGTCAATGCAGTCTTCAGTGCAGATGGTGTAAACCTCTGTATCCCTAATTTTATAATTTTGGAGCCTTTCTGAAATAGAACAGATAAGCTAGATCAGTATCTGCTTGTGTTTGATGGAGTGTGAAAGACAGAAAAAGGAAATTCATTATGCCTACAACAAAAGGGCTGGAACAGCTCCATGAACTTAAAAACAGTAAGGAGCCTTCAAAGGTTTGCCTGCTTTGACTGTGCCATAGGAACAATGCATGCAAGGTCTGTGTTTTCTTCAGGCGACTTTAAATTCTATAAGCTGGCAGTTACAGAGTGACCAACAGGGTAAAATGAAGAAAAAGAAAACTTGGCATGAAAATGTTACAGACAATACATTTAATGTTCTGTACGAATAATTGTTGTCATTTGTTGTCAAAAATCTTGTTATATCCAGTTTTTTCTGGAAGGCTAATTGGCATTTTGTTGCCTAGTCTGGAATACTAGGAATCTCCCACTTAGTCCTGATATGCCAATTACTTTCTCTATAAGAAAGCAGTCTTTAAAGACTTTACTTACTTTTTAAAATTCCCCTTGTATTATGTTAACATACAAATATATTTCAGATCTATGTGTTTGAATTTTTTAATATTTATTTTGGATGGCAAAAAATGAAAGGAAGACTGATTTAAATGTTCATAATGCCACCATGAATAGGGGTATAAAGTTGAGTTCCCTAAGAGCACCCAGTGGGTCAGAGTATTAGCAGCAGAATCTGACTTTGTCCCTCTGCCTCCAGAGTCCATGTCAGACGCACAGACAAGGTGGGAACAGAAGCTGCCTTCCATCCCATTGAGGAGTACATGGTGCACGTTGAAGAACATTTTCAGCTTCTCGCTCGCAGGATGCAAGTGGATAAAAAAAGAGTGTATTTGGCCACAGATGACCCTTCTTTATTAAAGGAGGCAAAAACAAAGTAAGTTAGATGAAGTAGTGATTCTAGAGTTGGGCTCTTTTCAGTTGAAAGGAATCCTTAATTCCCATGACTTGTGATTCTTGTGATACTATTACTGACTATTGGGGGTTTTAAATTCAACACTGCACTTGTGTAACTTGTTAATTTCATAAAAACAATTGTGAGGTGCCAACAAAGTTACATTTCATTCTGAAGCCTCTTTTCTTGGCTTGTAGGCAGCGTCATCTCTCTGTGAACTCACATGACTTCTTTGTGTGCTTAGAAGAAGCAGCAAACTTCCTGGTGTTTCTTCTTATAAAGGCACTAATTCCATTATGAGGATTCCACCCTAATGCCCTTATTTAACCCTAACTACCTCTCAAAGACCCTACCTCCAGATGCCGTCACACTGGAGGGTTATGGCTTAAACACGAATTCTGTCGGGAACACAAATATTCAGCCTATCACACTAACCAACCTTTACCAATAAAACACACA